GAAATAATTGCGATTTAAGGGAAGGTTTTGCAAATAAATTTTAGAGCGTATTCTGCCTACTTGAGGCTACGTTGTACTGTGGTTTATTAGTATTTGATTCTGTGGCGTTGAGTGCTTCTAGCCATTAGACTGGTCTCGTCGGTTTCCTACAAACGAGAGCCTATCCTGGCGTTACTTTATCCTGTGAGCCGTTAGGCTAATATATTACATTTGATTTAGTTCAATACTACCTATTTAAGTTAAGCCGGAAGTGTTGGCTTGTGTAAACTCAAGTTGGGTCATTCTTTGTGTTAAAATAAAAGGGTCTTATACACCTTTCTGCAAAAGTATATTTTAGGGTAGCCTTTGGCGAAACTTGGCGATTTTTTGGCGGTACATGGATACTGAGTTTGTGCAATTCTTTGACTTAATTTTTGGCTTGCATAACGGCGATTTTTGACGTAAAGCCGCTACACAAAGCCAAAATAAAAAGACAAAGAACTGCACAAACTCGGTATCCATGTACACATCGACCTATTTTCACTTAAAAAAATCGAAGAATTGCACAAACATACATTGCACACTCCCTTCACTTTGCCCATGTACACTTCGATATATTTTCACTTAAAAGTCAAAGAAGCACCCAATTCTACATTACAGGCAAACAAAAAATACATAATCTCACTAAACTACATTTTAAACCAAACAATAAAATAACATAAAAAAGAAAAAATATGTTATACATTTAAGCATTACAAAAGCAAATATTCACTTACCCTATTTAGAAGTTCCTTCGTCTTTAGTCTGTGGCACACAAAATTCCTTAACAGCGTCCAAAAACTTCTTAAAATTATCTGAACTCGAATCCGTATATCGGCATCGCCACATCTGAACCTTTCTTCCTACGAACCCATTCAAATCCATCTAAACGGTTTTTACGCTCGACTAGACGCATATGCTTCCTACATACAGGACACTTATAAAGGCTACTAAGTAAACTTTCATTTACACGGGTCTGGGTCATAATCCCGACAGCCGAAATCCCGACAAGTCAGAATCCCGACAGTCGGAATCCCGACTTCCAAAACCCCGACAGGGCCGAAATCCCGACAACCCAAAGTCCCGACACGGTCGAAATCCCGACAGGGTCAAAATCCCGACAGCCAGAATCCCGACAGGGTCAGAATCCCGAGTGTCCAGAATCCCGACAGAATCGAAATCCTGACTGTCCAAAATTCCGACAAGTTAATATCTAAATACAAACACTTAATTTAGCTTAATAAAATACAATTTTTAACTAACTATTACATATTACTAATTAAAAGTTTAAATCAAAAAATCATAAAAATTATGTCAATACTTAATATAATTTTTACAAATTGAAATGACCGTTAAAATTTGAAATGAAGATTTATAAAATTATTTTTATTAAGAAAAAGAAAACATCACTTACACATGCAAACGACATATTTACAGTGACACATTGTGAGCGATAGCACGAAGATATTCCATCACAGGGCGATTATCACGATCGTTCACAACAGTCACAATTCTCCTTTCTCTGTCATCATCTATCTTTCTACGTTTTCGTTGTTGTTCTCCGCGAAGAATGCATTCAACTTGATATTCCACATGCTCCTGTACTTTTTGAAATCCTTCTATGATGTTATAAAAGCCAATATGGGCCCGTCCAATTAAGGTGTCCCATCTTCTGTGCCAATCCTCGACAGCATTTTGAGCGCGCGGAGCATTTATAGCTGCCTTTTCTAGATCACTAATGATTCTAGATAGCCTCAGTTCAATATTATTTTCTTCAGCGAAATCAATTAAATCTTGGAATAATCTTTTGTAATTTTTTTTAGATTTGCTAGTCATCAAAGCATATACTATTTGCAGCTGTGTCAATTAAGTATGTTAAGTATGTTAAGGGGTCATTAGGCCTTATTGGGATTTCGCCCGTGTCGGTATTTTGACCCTGTCGGGATATTGGACAATCGGGATTTCGACCCTGTCGGGATTTTGGCTTGTCGGGATTTCGGCTGTCGGGATTTTGGTTTGTCGGGATTTCGACCCTGTCGGGATTTTGGCTTCTCGGGATTCCGTCTGTCGGGATTCTGGCTTGTCGGGATTTCGGCTGTCGGGATTATGTCCGGATACCCATTTACACACCTGTCAATTAAAGCTCTTTTCCCCTTTCGCTCCAAATGGTACAGAAAATTCAAATTAATCTTACTACATTCGGCCATTCTATTGTCTAAACAATAAAACCAAGACACAGCACAAAAGTGCTTACAAAACATTCCATGATTCAAAATTTCCTAGAATCATGCACCCGATTACATCACAATAGGGTTTGCATAACATTCAACTACTCAGGCTACCATAAATCAAACAACAACTTGGCGATAAATGAAACAGCAACTTCGCAATAATACAAGGGGTACCTTAAAGTCTACTCTAACCAACCCTTCTTCTGACTTTTGTTTTGTTTGACAAGACTATGCTTCCTAAGAAAATTAGCATATTCGGCGCGTATTCGAGAGGTTCAGGATTCGAGTCCCCCAAGCAGGGTACTACACATTTTTCACGTTTCATGCTTCAAAATAATTTAGTGACTTAAAATCAAAGAACTTATTCTGTTATGCATTCACTGATACCATAAAAGATGAATTGACCCGTAGATGATTACATTAGCTTTAAAAATTTTAATGTAACCTTAAGAGCGTTTAAACACTATTTAAATTTAAAAAGAAATTAAGAGCTGGAAATTTGATTAAATAGAATAGGTGAACCTGAACGAATCTTTGCTGCACTTTTAGTCCTTACCCGTTTATTTTCTTTTTATTTTCATGTCTTCAAATGTTTCCCAAGCTTTTGAGTATGCTATAAATTTAATTCTTTTATAACGGGAATACGAGTTGAGAGTGTAAACGTTGAGAGATGCAAAGTACTCCATTCTCGTCCTTCCTCATCAGAGATAAAAGATTTACTTAACAGTTGTGATAAGAAAATTACTTTTGTTGAACTGAATTTATAATAAGACAAATTAAAGGTGAAACCATATTTGCTTGTTTGTTCATTATTTCGTTATCGCTGAATTCATTTGTTATCAGAACTGACGTTTTTGAAAAATATATTTTACTTCATATTTTCCAAAGCTTATCTAAATTTGATAAGTACTGCTATTCTACTTTGTACGATTAATATTTGACAAGACGCAAAAGAATGTTTGAAAACAAATAATATATTTTTGTTTATTCTGAGTTTACCAATGCATTTGTAAATTCTAACAGCAAATACGTCTCCTGTTAGAATTTATCAAATGCATTTGTAAATTCTAAAGCAGGCGTATTTAAACCTTATGTACGACTCAGCCGACGTACATAAGGCTTAGCTACGTCTTTTATTAATTAGATTAATGAAATAAATGTTTATCAATTTCAGTTAAACTCGCTTATAACAAACCCTGATTTAACGGGAAACCGGATTTAACCAGGAAATCGAAAATACTTGGTTAGTACAACGCTAAGTCTATGGGAGTATAACTCGCTTTTAGCAAGCAAACCCCGGTTATAGCAAACAATATGTTTTTGATTTATAAAATTTCTTTTGACTTCCACCTCTTCAACTCAGCTAATCCTTTCTTGCAAAAATTTCGTTAACATTCCGAAGAAAACCGAAAGTTAGTAAAGAGTCACAAATTCTGCTAACACGTGACGGCGGGCTTTTTTTGTCTTGGGGAGTGATCCAGGGTTGAACTGTTTTCACCGAATTTTACAAGTGATATCCATCCAGCCTATGTAATAAAGGATCACCAGAAATTTTAAATCAAACTTTCGTCAGCGCTTGATTTTGATGCATCTCGATAGAAGAGAAAAAATACGAACAAACCCAAATGCTAACGTAAAAGTACTCGAAGCGATACATTAAAGGAACGATGCATTACCAGTTGCTTCTGTAAGGCTGTATTGGACATTTCGCAAGAGGGGCAAATCACTGAGGAAGAAGAAGAAGTAGACGTCTTAGAAAATTTGAAAATGAATAGAGAAGAATTTGAAATTCTATATCATATGAGGTTTTTCTCCCGACGTTTTAGCATGCCTTCGTGGTGTAGTGGTCAGCACACTCGGCGCATATTCGAGAGGTCCGTGTTTCGAGTCTCGACGAGGGCATTGTTCATTTTTCTCATCTCTCTTGCTAAAAGAACTCTAATGTCTCTACAGTGGTGCCCGAATTAAAAACTATGTTGGATGATGGTTCTACACCACCAGGATTTAGCGACCGGGTCCCTCAGTCCCCAGTCGCCCTTTAAAAGGGGGAGTATATAAGGTATTGCGAATGACGATATTTTTCGGGACATGAATCTTCTCCGAAGAACGATAACACAAGAAAGAGATAATAAGGCAGTTCAAAGCAAATTAATCAACTTCTTTTGTACTGTACATAAATAATAAAAATAAATATATATAATTATATATAATACACTAATCCTGTTAAGTAAGAGTAATGCTACCAACCTAGAAAGAGTGCATTTTTTACGGCGAATAGGAATTTCATTCTTTTATTCTAGTTATTGGTAAATCACGTTATAAATTTCAGATCAACTGATTTTTCGGCACTCCTGTATTATTATTGTATATATCTTTGCAGTATACGAGCAAATGTTTCATTAAATTTATGGCACGAAAGATATATCCTAATCTAATCATGAATTTTTTTTTAAATCTTGTAAACCGGAAATGTAAGATATTTCCCATTTGCTATTCATGACTCAAAGATTTACTAAACAATCAAGTGTATTGACTATATGAGCCTGCGAACCGCAAGAGGATGTGTATAGCGAAATCTTCAATACGTAAATATTTCTAATTTATGTGTTGCAAAACACTTTCAATAAAAACGGCGCGAATCCTCTATTTTTAATACCAGGTATATGTTATTATTCTGCTTTATTGGAATTTTCTGAAGAATGTTGAAATTCATAGTTAGACCTGTTGCTAAACAGATACTAAATTTCTTACCTCCTACTTTTGCCTCGTATGCTACTCCAACACCACATACCTTGTTGTTGGCAACGCCTGCAGCTATGGCAGCGCAGTATGTACCATGGCTAAAATGAAACATAGAAAAAATATTAGGAAATCCTAATTATTATTTTATACAATTAAATAATACAGAAAAGCATAATTACATAATAATGACTTATCGAATACGTATGTTTTTGATGTGATGCTATAAAAACCTTTATTTTCTCATCATTTCCAATAATTAACTAATACTGCCAATAAAAAAGGGAACAGAAATAAATTTTTAACACAAAATAATTGTGTATTTTATTTTTAATCATCAAATTTCTGGCTAAACCAATTTATGAACTGAATTATACATGTAAGTGATATCAGATTTGAAAACAGGGAAATAAGTATTAACCACTTCACTTCCCTACAAAACTCAAATATTTGTTTCCTTTTTTAACTCCAAAGATAAACCTTTTGCGTCTGAAACTGGCCTTAGAAATGTTTCTGCCCCCTTTCACCAGGTGCTAAGATCTATTTAGAAAACCGCCTTCTACTCACCTCTTTACCTAGAAGGAAAATTTCTTCCTCTCTTATGTGAAAATTTAGAAACGATCTCCTAAAAACACGCTTTCAAATGAGCAGTATTTCTATTGCAATACCAGCTGAATTCCTATTTCTTGTATTGGTAAAGTTCCAATCACATTATGTTTCGGCTACGCGGGACTTGACGTCGAAAGTGACAATTCTCAGAACCAGCACAATTCCAGGAAACCAGCGTAGCTAGGTTATCATTTTCACTTACTACAAAGACTTGAACGCCAAACACTAATCGATTATCGCTCACATTGGGATCACGTGAGGATTCAGAAGCAGAACTTTCGTCTGATTGGTTGTCTCTACCCGGGACCCGAGACATTTTCGGTGAGGTTTGAAAAAATCCCGTGTAGCCGCAACATTGTTTCCGTAGCTATTTGGGACTTCTCTTCAGGCGAGGCTCTGCTCTCTAGGAATCCTTCCGTTTAAACCATTGCTATAAGAATCTTGTTTCTCAGAAAAGTCCCGTCTAGCAGGAACTGTAGCCATGTGTGATAATCTCTTAAGGCAACTTCCATTTGAGTGGCCCTAATACAATTCACTATGGAGAGAATGTAATCAATTAACCCATTAATAACCTCTTTCCATTTTCGCTGAATTCAGGGGGGTTGAAAAACATGAAGCAACGAACAACGAATGTTTCTCGGAGATAACGATCAGGACGACATTTAACCCTAAAACGTGTGTGAGTGACCCACGCCTGACGACAATTTTCAAATCGAGGAGTCTATCTCGGGGAAATGTGAAATTGTTAAACACACATCATCGAAAGATCTGTGTGATGGACCGAGCATTTTATATAGAATTTAGCTGTATTCAGATTCGGTAGTTATGAATCTATTTACCGTCAATATTACTCCTCGTTGCTGCTCCTTGCTCTACTAAAGATTATTCCTACTCTCATTAGACATAATACATCTAAAACACGTTTGTATATTGCGTATATAAGGACAAAAAGTACTCCACTTATGACTGACTGATTCATTATTGAGATATTCGTAATATAAAAGGTAATGTTACTCATTACTCTTGCATTCTTACCTTGGGAAATCAAAGAATATATTATATTTTTCAATTGCAAGACATGCTAAGTGCGAAAAAATTCACAATATCATTACTACGAGTAGAAAATTAAATGAGATTCTTAAATGAAGACCATGTTGTCTAGTTTTTTCTTATTTTTATTCACATCACACACAAAAAAAGCATATTGACTGAAAAATCCAAGCGTAATTAATCCGAGAACAGTAATTAATCCGAGATTAGCTATAATGCGTAATTAATCCGAGAACAAGAAATTAAACTAGCTAGTAAGCAAGAAATATGTTACACCCAAAATTCTAAAATCTATTTTTTCATAAACATTTGCCGCGAGGCCAGCTGGGAAAAGAATTCAGACGAACGTTAATCACGCCATTTGATCACATGATCATTTTATTTTTAACAAAGTATGTCTGGACCTAGATGTTAATACCTAGTGATGTTAGTGATGTTAATACATACCTAGATGTTAATACCTACTGAAATCAGCAACTGCGTTTTGGCATATTCTTCATCGTCATTACTGTCCTTCATCAATTTCCTTAATGAGATGTTAATTTACGCAACATTTAAATTTACAGTCCATAATTTTTTATAAAGTACCATTAATTACATATTATGCTTTATACATATGCTTTTCCATGCTTCATTTTTAGATGCTGAATGATGATTAATGTTTTTTTTTTTTTTTACTTAGTAACAGGCTTATATTAATGTAATGTTATTGCTGCATCTCAAATCACAATACCTGTTATTTATTCATTTCTGAATATCCTTTTCAGTTTTTTTTTAGCAATAACCGTTGATGGCATGTGAATACCTCCATCAGTGTGATCAGAGTTTGTTGTCAGAGGTGATAATTCTTGCAATTATTGATTTATTCACTCCTTATACATTTACGCAATTTCTTGCAACAACGTCTCATGAAATGTATTGCATTAAAAATTAATAATAAATTCCTTTCAAAAGAATTTTTATTTGTGAAAATTTCTCAGGGACTATAATAAAATGTCTTTAATATTTACTAAGGATTCCAAAGGAAGGTTCACGTACAATTTAATTCCAACAGTAAGTGAGAGAGGGTCTATAGGCAACAAGTATCTTAATCAAGCCTTGACTCATCATGGACATTTTCCATCTTATTATGAAAGGATCTAGATTATTGTTAATTTATGTAAAAATGTAGTATCTAAATTAAGATCGTCAGATTTCGTAAAATATGATTTTGTAAACGAAATGGAATTGTATATTGAATGTGTTCAGGATATTCTGTCTGTTTTACTTAAAACTAAAATGTTTATATTTATATTGTTAATTTATAATTTTGTACATGTAAGTAACACGCGTTTTGTACATGTAAGTAACATGTGTTTTATTTTATATTAAAAAGTTTGTAATTAAGTGTTATTTGTCGGAGTGGCTAATAGATCTCATCAATCTTTAGAGAAGTTTAAATCTGTAGTAGTTCACCTTTTTTTTTAATTACTTTAAAATAGTATGTAGGCTGTTCTGCTGTTTGTGGGCCTAGATTGTCCCGTTTTAGTATTTAATGCCCCGTTTACAGCTCTACTAATCCCTGTTAAATGCATAACGGTGGAACAGGTAATTTTGATCAGTCATATTTACTAAGACATAAAAGGAAACAGAATTCGGTAAGAGGTTTAGTAAGACAGATTAAATCTTAACCGGTAAAGCTACTTTCTTGATTGCTTACAAATAACATTTCACGACCTTATTCTCTTACAAATTTTTAAATTTGAGTAAATGGTTTAATTTAGCTCTTGTGTTATTTTTCTTATGGTATAATTCCAAATAATATGTTTTCCAATATTGCTGTTTGTAACAAAGCAGACTTTCTACTCAAAAACCAGTGTAGAAATTTTTGAAGATGAAACAGTTAAGATAAAATAACACACCAAACAAGTACTAATTTGCAAATTTTCACAGGTCTAGATCGATGGTTTTCCCGAACCATCATCCTCAGCTGCCAAATTCCATTTGCGCTTTAAAATAAAACAATTTGAAAGGTTTTACGATATGGAATTATCAGATTGTTAGCATTACGTCTCTGATTCAAATATCAAATAAAATGCTAACATTGAATAGAGATACCTGTAATTTATAAATTTCCTCAAGTTAAGTGAAACTGAATTTTCCTTGTTTGGATGCGAAATGATATTGTCTTTGTTCAATAATATATCCACGTAATTGTTTTTCCATATGGCAGTTTACATTAAAATAACTGATTTTAAAGAACCATGCAGAAGCTGAAAAATATAAAGATAAGGGGTGAGATGAGAAAGAAAAGCTCTTTCATTCCCTCACCTTGTCTGAGCATTTCGCAAAGAGTGATGCCTTTTGAATTTATTCAATGCGGAAAAAATGTTTTGACGCATTTTCATGTAATGATTTTCTCTTCGCTTGACATTTTGGTTTCCATTCATTCTGTACTACACAGGTTCTCAAGGATCTCTGGAGAGGGAAGTTAAAAAATAAAATGATTCATATTATGTTTTAGGCTGAAATGAAATATAAACAAAGAACTATGTGTGAACGAAAACCGTATAAAAACGAGGTCGATGGCCTCTATTTAAACAACGTTCGACGAAGATTGCAAGGGCATTCTGGAGACGTTTAGTGAAGAGAACGGGAAAGCTGATAATTAAATAAGTTAAGACAGCAGTCTCTGTGAATTTATAACCTGCCATTTTTCCAATCTGTATTTTATTTATTGCCGGTTTATATTTTTATCAAAAAAATCCTTTGTATGCAAATAAAAGTTTGTAAGAATATAAATTTTATTGTAACCGGAAGTATTTATGCTCTTATAATATCAGATGCAGTTTGAGAAATGAAGTTCTCTGCAGTTTTAGAAATGACTTTACGCGCATGGAATTCGAAAAATATAGCAACCGTCTTTATTTCCTTGGACACACTGATTGAGACATACATGTACTTTCGATTATGAAGTTCCTCAAGATAAGACTGCGAATTTTATGAAAATGCTTCACTAGATGGGGGAAAAAAATAATAATAATTACGCCCAAATGTGAGGTTTTTTTTTATTTACACACACATACACGTTTCGAAAGTATCTAGGTAAACGACCCTTTGGTCTAAAAATATTTAAAAACAACCTATCTTTAGCGTTTCTGATAGACAGTCTCGCGCTCTGGAGATAAAAATGTTTTATTCCACTGCTACTGTGTTGCCACTGCTCGCTTTGAAACTATTGAGTATTTTAACCAAAACTCGTTAAAAGTTTTACAAAATGTGCAAAAGACAATAAAACAAATTTAAAATTCGAGCTTCCAGGTTCAAAATTTGATGGCACAGTTAATAATTCTAGGTACCGTTGTCTTTTCACAATGCGAAAAACATACATGGATTCATGCAGATTCTTCTTTCTTTAATTTTTTTAAATATAATACAGAGCGATAATAATTTGGTGGCAACA